TAGTTCTTATTCCTTTCTTATTTCCTTAAATAACCATGTCAAACTAACAGAAATATATAAAGAATATGACGGGACTGAAGAGATGGTTCAGTCAGTAAAGTGTTTGGTGTACAAGCATGAAGACCTGAGTTGGCTCCCTAGCACCCATATTAAAAAGCCAGGTGCAGGGGCACACACCTGCAAATCACACACAGCACTTGGCAGGCAGAGACAGAGGCCTCCTGGAGCTAGCTGGACAGCCAGCCTAGCCTAATTGATGAGTCCCAGGTTCAGTGAGAGATGCTGATTCAAAAAGTAAGGATCAGAGTATGGTAAGGCAAATCAGGGTGTGGTGGCGCACACCTTTAGTCCCAGCATCCAGGAGGCAGAGGCATGAGGATCTCTGTGAGATCAAGACCAGCCTGGTCTACACAGTGAGTTCCAGGCCAGTTGGGGCTTCAGAGAACACATATATTGGAAGACAAGAGGGGGGGGAGGGAGGAGCAATTGAAGAAGAAACCCCACATCGACTCTAACCTCCACAGGCATATGTATACACGTGCATGAGCACTCACACCCTTCCATGGATATGTGTGTGTGTGCGCATCATGAGCACTCACACCCTTCCATGGATATGTGTGTGTGTGTGTGTGTGCGCATCATGAGCACTCACACCCTTCCATGGATATGTGTGTGTGTGCACATCATGAGCACTCACACCCTTCCATGGATATGTGTGTGTGTGTGCGCATCATGAGCACTCACACCCTTCCATGGATATGTGTGTGTGTGTGTGTGCGCATCACACACACACACACTCAAAAAGAGAGTAGGAAAATCACAAGATCAGCCAAAACAACAAATCCATACATGATCAGTTACAATCATTTTACAGAGCAATAACTATAATAAAGATTAATCCTTTCATGTAAGCCAAACTTCCTCTAACACACACACACACACACACACACACACACACACACACACACGAAATATATATGATTAATCTTCAGAGAAGCGTTTTTGTTTGTTTTTTTATGGAGCCCAGGCTGACCTAGAACTCATTAGGTAGCCAAGGATGACCCTGAACTCCTGATTCTCTGGCTCCCATCTCCCAAGTACTGGAATTATAGGTGTACTCCATCACACCTGGCTCCAAAGAAGCTAGCAGATGTTTTTATTGTTTTAAGAACTTGTTTCAGGGCCAGCAGATGGCTCAGTTGGGTAAAGGTACTTCCTATCAAGTCTGACAACCTGAGTTTGATCACTGGGGCCCATATAGTAAAATGGAAGAACCAGATTCCACATGCTGTCCTCGGATCTCATGCAATGCTGTGGAACCAATACCACACACATACAAAATAAATAAATGTAATTTTAAAGACATGATCCTAAAAGCAGGGTGTGTGGGGGGGTGACTTGTTCTAAAACTCTTTAAAGACTTCAATTATTTTGCTAAGATAGTAATAAAACTTTTGGCTTTGTAACAGTTTGATGAAGAAGAAAATATAGATCTGTAAAGATAAACATCGCTATGACTATCCTATAGCCATTTTATAGGAGGACTGGTAAAGATTCCTTAAATAGGAACTATTTCTATGTTGGCATTTCCTTTCCAGTCAATTGTCAATTTATCCTCTGTAATATGGTAGGAAGTCTCAGGGTGACGTGGAGGAAATCTTCTACATTAGGGATCCAGCACCTTCATACATGCTAATTACTCACCTCAGTCCAAGGCTTGCACAATACCCATTAATCTTTCCACAATGGTAGATTTCTCTTTAAATATGTTTTGTACTTTCTTAGCTACATGTTGGTTTTCCATTCATCATTTTGCCTCAACACCCTACTTTCCTACCTTTAGCTATTTAAAAACCCAGCTCCCATCAGTCTCTGTAACACAACTTCAGCCTACCACCTCTCATCCCTTTCTGACCTCAATGCCAGACAACATCAGAATCACTCTAGTGCACTGCTGCGTCACTGTTCATTTGCTTTGTGTTTCCTCACTTTTCATGATCTCAACCATACAACACATTCAGGAGCCATACTAACGTTAAAACTTAGCATAATTTTTTGCATACAATTGGTATTTATGTATCTATTGGTTAGCTAGACTATATGAAGCATAACAACTGAAAATTCTACATGATAGGAGCAGTTAGCACAGTCTGACTTTTTATTTATTTATTTTATGTGTATGGGTGTTTTGCCTGCATGTATGTAAGTGCACCCATGCCGTGCAAAGCCCACATAGGTCAGAAGAGGGTGTGAGATCCCCTGGAGCTGGAGTTACAGACAGTTGTTGGCTGCCATGTGGGTGCTGGGAACTGAACGCGGGTCCTCGGCAAGAGCAGCCAGTGCTCTTAACCACTGAGCCAGCTCCCCAGCTCCAGTAGGTTATTAATTTTAATTGTTGGGGTCCAGAAATCATTTGCATGAAACAAAATATAAAATAAATCTAAAAGATATCATTTGAACAAAGCCTTGAAAGATGATAAGAACTTTGTAGACCAAGATAGTAAGCCTATTCTGGGCTGTTGGGGGGAAAAAGAAAAAGATTTTTACTATCTTTAGCTTCTCACAGTAGGTCACCTTTTCAGTTATTTCAGGGAAAAAAATAAAACGCTTTCCTCTCCTACTTCTCAACATGAAATGATGGCTCTGTCTCTCCCTTCTATCTCCCAATGTTTCTTGCTACCTGTCTCCTGCCCACTCTTGGAAGCGCTCACCCTCCCTCACCTGCCTTCTGTAGCCAGATTTTTTAAAGGATGATATTTGTTATCTCTACTTCATCTCTAATTCATTATGCAATGCACATGTGCAACTCTGTTAAATGTTTCACAATGGGGTTTCGTTAAATAAAATAAAGACTTACTTTCTGACTTTATCCTTCCTTTTTTTTAGACAGCATTCCTTCTTAAAATGTACATTCAAGGAACAGAGGATGCATAGTCTGAGAAATAGGATTTCTCATGTCTAGAGAGTAGATTACTGAACAGAGGAGACTCAGCATTTTTAGTAGAGAACATATTATTACAGGTATCAGTAAGAAGCTAGAACCGTAAACATGCTGGTCTCTCAATTTATCTTTCCCTAACTTAAAAGAATTTCATAATGTTTCAGGCATGAATAAGGATGTGTAATTCATTTTCCTCAACAAGAAAAAGGAGGCATTCTTAAGGAAATTACTTCTTACAAGCCAGCACCCTCAATCCTTCAGAGTAAGGTACAGTTTGGTTTCTTGACACTACACTGACATAACCAGAGAAGCAACAGATTCCTTGTTTCATTTACCAAGAGGAATAATTCTAAGGCAGCTTAATCTCTTCCATAAAATAAATAGCTATTACTATCCATAACTTACTTTGCTTACATTTATTACCTTCAAAGTTAAATTTGTTAGTGCCAATTAACCATCTCTATTGATTTCAAAATATCATTCCTATGTCACATATACCCAAGTCTTTTCAGAGACTGTAAATATTATGTACATGATTCTACAAATTATTGGCCAACAGTGGACCTCAGCTCACCTTTTAATTTCCATTGAAATGAATACTTCAGTTCACTAAGCAGTTCAATTATCTTTTTTCTTTTAAAAATGAATTTATCCTATACATACCCTTCCTTGTAAAAACAGCTCTCCTTAAAGTAGAAGTATCAGAAGTACTTTTCAGAATTACCAAATGCAGTCTGCAAATCCTACCAAATAATGGGTATTAGAGAAGGTCCACAAATATTGTCAACAGGCAGATTCATGTTAGTACTATTGCTAATATTTCCATAAAGGCTGTTAAACAACTATCTTGACTAAAGATCAGAAAATTTCAAGCCTATCTCTAATATTTGTAGGGGCTGAAGTACGGCCATAAACAGAGGTTTGGATTCCATATATATAAAATTTAAGTTATAAGTTAAACTTTTAAATAAAATATGACCTTATAGTCTGATATTGACAAATATACCTTCAACTACCTGGAAGGACAGGTTCTTAGATTCATTGAAATTCCCTTCCATAGTGTGGTAGCATGAAGGGCCAGTGCATCCTTCTCTTACCACTCCCCAGTTCCATCAATATCTCATACCTCATTCCTCCTCCTCTCTTCTCCATTCTTCTCTCCCTCTCCCTTCTCTTCTTACTCCTCCCATCTCCTCAAGAGGATCTTGCTATGTTGCCCATGCTGGGCTTGATCACAACATCTTCTAAGCTTAGCCCCCCTCTTCCCTCAAGTACCTGGGGTTACTGAGTTCACAGCACTTCAGAGGACCTTCTACTCCTTACGTCCCAAAGCAAGGCTTTTCTTGCCCAGGACTAAAAGTCAGCACAGGATAATTTACCCAAAGGAGAACTTGCCAGGTCACATTTGTTATTAGTTAATATACCAAATTAAACTCAATATGTAGCAAGATTAAGAAGACAGATAAAACCTAAACTTTTAATAGTTAAGTACTTCAGTCTCCTTAAGGCCTATAATCAAATAATCTAATATTTATCACAATCTAGATCTACAATCTAGACTATATACTTTAAAAACTCATTCAAATTTACAGAATTCTATTATACGCTAGAGAGACTGAGAAGACACTAAGCAGAAGGAGAACACAGAGCATCAAGTACAAGTTCAGACAAGCAGTGCAAGAGAGTATTTCCCATGTGTCTGTCACTAATACTGAGGACTCATCTAATAAAGTTCAGTATCAGCACAGCGAGTTTTGGTTCTTAGTTGGCCCTCACTAATGCAGATTCATTCAGTTTGTGTGTCTGCCTGCAAATGTCCCTACCCTAGACACCACCACCATGATCAATCACAGGGAGCCACAACACATAACCGAAGACAGCTCTCCTTACACAGAATCTCTTTCCTCACCACAATTTACTGCACTGCATGCCCACTTTACTTATCAAGAAAATGATTCTGTTTATTTGGAAAAACTAATAATTTGTGATCATAATACATATATATATACTCCAGAGGAAGGAAGTATTTCAACTGGAAATCTTATTTATATGTACTTACTGAGATTGTACCATTGTCTAGACCTATGGACAGTCTTCTTGTTTCCGGGTTAAAAGACATGCATGAACATGGAGCTGAAAGAAATGAACATGTTGATGAAATTAACAAAACAACAATTTTCATGGATTCAGGAGTGCCTACTGAGCTAAACGTGTGTGGCTAGTTTTCCTCATTGTCTCCCTGAACAGTTCATTTAACTCCCACTCTTCAACAAAATAAAAACAGTAATTTTGTATTCAACCTCCAGTTTTTAAGTTGCCATCTTAATGAATATACAAGTGAGACATTCTCAAATTTGACAAGTTCCAAGGTCTTGGTTTATGCTGTTAATACGGAATCTAAATTTCTTTGACTAGATTTGACACTATATTTTGCTGTATAACCCTTTGGTCATTACTCTCCTTATCCCACTCAGACCCCAACTTAAACAGAAACAAGTTATGCTTTCTGAACTAGAGACAGAAAAGAAAGATTTGACCCCTACCCTCCACCTCCACATATGCAAATACATATACTATCACAGAAAGGTATACTGATTCAGAATAGATATGGGGCAAGTGAACTGCTAGGGGTCTTTTACTCTTAGCATTCAGGAGGTATGTGGGAGGCTGCTGGTTGAAAATGACTGTGGATTTGTATGAAGTTAAAAGAGACCCAAATCAAAATAGGGGCTAAGTACTGCAGGAGAGAGCAGGTGAGTCAGTGCACCCAGTCCTGGGCTGGGATTCCCAGACCACAAGGCAGCCTGCCTGTGTAAACTAAGTCCTATGTGAGCAACAGATGCTCACTGGATACTCAGTCTCCAGTTGCCTGCTTATCTATTTGTGCTTGCTCCAAGAACTGGAGTTTTTCCACAATTTATCTCATACTGAAAAAGTTGCCCTAAAGAGCCCAATACAATTTTTAATGCCCCTCAACTCACAACTTTTGGATCATGAACTTATTAATCAGCATTATCAGCATCAAATATCTTAGTTCTACTTTTTAAAATATTTTGTTTTTATTTTATGTGTATGAGTACCTTGCCTGCACGTGTGAAAATGCGTGCACCCAGGTCGTGCAATGCCCTTGGAGGTCAGAAGAGGGTGTTGGATTCCCTGGAACTGCAGTTACAGACAGTTGTTAGCCACCATGTGGGTGCTGGGAATCGAACCCAGGTCCTCTGCAGGAGCAGACAGTGCTCTTAACTGCTAAGCCATCTCTCCAGCCCCAATTCCTACTTTTTTAGTTACAATCAGATGTCTCACTCCAGATCACATAGGAAAAAAAAAAAAAGTTGGAGAAATTTCAGTGATAATTCAAACGACACAGTTACATTTTCAAACTCCCAACTTAGATTATCTTCTGACAGAGCCATTTAATTAATGAATCACTTGGCAAGTTTTCCTATTCTCTATAAAAGAGTCTTAAATCAACAAAAAATGGATTTTCAAAATTGGATAAAGATGCCAGGTATGGACAGGTCTATAATCCCAGTACTTGGAAGGCTGAAGCAGGGGGATTGGCATGAGTTCAAAGCCAGCCTAGGTTACAGAGCAAGACCCTAACTCAAAAAGCCAAAACAAACAAAAATTTCATTTCTTTTTGGGCTAGAGATGTGGCTCAGTTGGTAGAGTGTTTACCTAGCATTCATGAAGCACAAGCCTAGAACCCCAACACTCCCTCGAGAGGGGGAAGTAAGAGAACCCAAAATTCAAGGTCATTCTCCAATCACAGTGGAGTTCAAAGCCAGCCTAGGCCACATGAAGCCTTGTTTCAGAAAGACAAACTTTTTTTTTTTTTCTAATTCCAGTCATGACATATTCAGAAAACAGGAACAAAAAGAAGACTCTTCCCCAACCTTTCACTGGCAGAGCAGATGGTCTTCTTTCTGTTTGGCCATAAAGCAAAACCAGATTCCTAAAGTACATGGCTCAAAAAATAAATAAAAGCAATCAAATGATATTCAATGCACTGCCCTAAGAAACTCAAGTCTGATTTGCCCTGGGCCTATAAATTATCTGACAAATTTCTACATGAATAAGATACCAGGTCTTGTAATCCTGTACGTGTGCAGAACTAAAATCTAATGATTGTATGATGTTAGACAAACAACAAAAACAAACAAAAACTCAGAAGACAAAGTACACTGTAAATAAACCTATATAAAATTACATTAAAAATCTAAGCAAAGTGCTTATACTTGAGTGAAAAATTCTTTTATACTAACTTTAATCTTATTGTTTTGGTTTAAATTAATTTTATATATCAATGATTTATTAATATTTGAGCATGAGCACATAAAGCAAACCTTGATTACAGCCCCAATTGGCTACATACAGCCAAGAACAACCTTATTTCTGTGCTGCCCATCTAGCCATTTAAAAGCATGTCCTCTGTGAACACCAACAGAGTTCACGTATGGTAATGCTATAGTTAGCAAATCCATTAATCTTGGAATATGATTTAAAAGGTGTTTTTCAATACTGCATAAACAACCCTTAAATCTTACTATTATTCAATTATTTCTGTTCTTCCTCCATTTGCTAGTTTTCTTGTTACTAAACAAAATTCAGAATGTTTACTAGATTCCAGGCCTCTGACAGCATGATACATAAGGTTTTATCACTGCCACCAAGAACTTAAGAGACTGTGATACCAAGTATACACTGCAACTGCATGACTCAGCTTCATGGCTCAGTCGCTTTATATAAAACAAAACATTACCAGAATTCAAAACTGAAAGGTCTTCCTATAAAAGGAACAAAGAAATTTTAACAGAAATCCTACTGTTCTGTAAGTCATACTTGAACTCAAGATGGCCTACATATCTAGGATGAACTAGCCAGACAGCATTAACTCCATGGTACCCCCAAATGTACAACCACTCTTCAACGAGGCATTATGGGAAAACACTGGTGAACAAATGCTGTGCCAGCACCTGTGTGTGGGTGTGTGTGTTTGTGTGGGTGTGGGTGTATGTGAGATGGAATGAACATTATTATGCCCTTCGAACCATTTCCAGGGTGGCATTCCAAAAGGAATAGACCTTGGCTAGTTATTCAAAGGTCCTTGCAAGGGTAAGAAGGCAGAAAGGCGATCCAAAAAAATCTTAATGCCCAGAGTGGTTCCTACAGCTTATCTTACTTGGGAGCTAAACGTATAGATCACAACAGATCTTTCTAGCCTCGACTCACCAAAAATTAACAAAAAAGTACCCATGAAAGACTGGTGCCATGGTCCATACAACATGGGCTCCTCGTCATGCAGGACATATCAAAGGGGCAAAACTGTATGGAACCCAATGACGGCCAAATAACTGGCAGAATATGAGAGACAAACAGAAACAGTGTAAGTAGACTAATTGTTACTGAGTTGAAAACATGAAACTTCACAGATAAAAACTGCTTTAAATGCTATAAAATTATTAGTTCATAGAGCTATAAACAAATTACTGGCCTCCTTAAGGCTAAATGTGCAAGGCAGAAATAAACTGTTCTATTCTCCATCTTAAGACTGTCACCCAAATGACTGAAGTGGCTGGCTAGACTAAAAATTATAGTGCAATGGCCGTCCATCAAAACTGCAACTGAGAATACTAAATAAAATACAGCATGGTGCAAAACACGAATGATGACACCTATTCCCTGCATACGGTCACATGCATACACATGCCTTTACCTACCTCCCCAGGAAAAAGAATAATCATACTTTGCAGGTGACTTCCATTTGCCAAAGCCTCTCACATATTTCATGTTACATGCAGCTAGCCCACGACTGCCCCTAAACTAATCACATAACAAAAGTTCAAGGCCTTGTCACAGGTTTTGTCCATGTTGTTTCAACTTTCTATCTACTCCTCCAACTTTTTCTTAATGCAGGGGGGAAATGACCAGTTTATTTAGAAGATTAGATCTAATTTAGAACTAACTTCTCATACCATCTCACACTATCTGCCTTTTCTGTTTCAGACAGATGATGACCAAAGAAATTACTGGCAAAACTTTAAGGAGTCAAGATTAATAAAAAGTATAAATAAGACATAATAGAAATATTGTACAGGTCTAAGGGTAACGGGACCTCTCTTCTCTTAAACCGGTATCAGCTGTGTATGTGAATATGTGCAAGCATACAGGCACTGTGGAGTAAACCGAGGGCCTCACACGTTAGGCAAGTGCTCTACCACTAAGCTGTACCTCCAGCCCACTCTTATAATTAGTATTGTACTTTATAGGTTTTCATGGCATGTCTCACCTATAAAATTAAACACTTTTATAGCATTTGAGTGCTTTTTGAATTGAAACCTTTGTAACTGAAGACAGATATTCAGCTTTAACTTCAGGGAAAACTGAATTGAAAAGCCCTAGTCTGGATAGTTACATTAATGTAATTTCAAGGGGGAAAAGCTCAAGAGATATGAGCCCTACACAAAGGAGACTCAAGAGACCAATGTCAACCTCAACAAGTCAATAAATAAATGGATCACTGAAAAAGTAGCTACCTGTATTTCTAGTACTGTTATACCACATTTGGTATATAAAAGGCCACTACCTTTGCTTTTTATTTTAAAAAATGTAGTTGAGAGGAAGTATTCTCAAAATGTTTCTATTTTTGTGCCTACAAGTCTTTCATTTAATTACTCATTTATTTTCTGTCTTTTGCTGACCAGCTGAACTTTGCTCAAATAAACATAGTTTTCACTGAAGGTTAAGGCCTAGATTTCAATCACACTGACTGCTTTACAATTCTAAGGGCATTACTGGGCAGGAGATACTAATCTTCCAGAGGAGATGTTCTAGTTGGAACTTTAAATAAACAACAGTATTTCATGAATAAAACCTGAAGTGTCAAAGAAATTGTAGTAAAGTTAAATTTCAGAATCCCTAAATGAGAAGGGCTTTCAAGAGCGCTTCCAATGAATAAAATACCCTCAGAAAGCAAAGATGTGATTCAGGAACACGATTTCATTCAGCCTTATTAGGGAAGTATTTATCAGACTTGCGGCACTCAGCCCATATTTTGTAAGCCTACCTATATTAAGAACTTCAGCTGCCTTACATTAAAATTTTTCATTTAAATCAAATTTTTCATTTTT